GTAGTCTTAGTGTACCCTTGGACTGTTATATTTTCTATTCACTAGGGCAGGCATAGGCAAACTAGGGCCCAGGGACCGGATGTGGCCCGTTCAGCTTTTTAATCCAGCCCACCAAACCATTCCACAGGATCTAATTTGTTCATATTATTATTACACTTCTGCCTTTTGCCTGCAATACCCACATTTCCCCAATAGATGGGGTGTAGAAAATGATAAAATCATTTTAGCCTTTATGCATGACTCTCACATGTCATTTATCTTAGTTTGCACGTTTTTTTTTTTTTTTTAAAGTTGCTATTTCTGAACTTTCCACTGTTCAGGTGCGGATTTTGTGATTTTACCTTGAGAAGTGCCGATTGTAAAAAAAAAAACCCAAGAGGAAGAAGTGGAGCGGCAGTACTACTCTAGATGTTGGGTTTCCTTCTTTTCCCTGTTACAGCGTCTTTTTTTATGTTGCACTAATAAACTCTCACTTTCGCCCTTTTATTTTCTCCTTCCTCGTTTCTAAATGTCAGTGCCGCCAGATCACTGTGCCATCGTTCCACCCCTGAACACTCAAACGGAATTGAGGGGAGCCAAGAGGAACCGGAACAATTTGGCCTGATAGCACACACTCTGCTCAACATTGCTAAGCGACCACCGTGAACTCATTTTCGTGAACCTTCTCTTACCTAGAGGCTAGAGCTGGAGTTTGTGTGTATGTGTTTGTACTCAATTTTGTTTCTCTTCAGGAACTTTACTCATACAAATGATGCCTTTTTTAAGGGCCACGCTCCTCATAGGAAGGGAGAGCCTTATTTCTGGGACTCTCTCTCTTTCTCTCTCTCTCTCTCTCTAGTGCAGCTATTCTTGTCTGGACATTTTATTATGAAATAAACCATTGATCCTCACTGAGTAAAACACTATTTGAAATTCAAGTTTTGGGTTAAAGTTGGGATCTGAATTTGTGTCAGATTAAATTATGGTCAGAATTAAGATTAGCTACAGGGGGGAGAGGGGCTGTAGTTGTGAGGTCACTTTGTCCTTGTGGGCGACATATAGCAGGTCCTGACAGATTGAGGAGGTAGTTAGTTTGGAGTCAGGATTAGAATTAGATGAGAGTGTTTGTGAATATATCAGTCATAGTTGAGGTTTGGATTGGGAATGTCAAAGAGAAATGTTCAGGAAAGAATCCGTGTGAGTTTCTGAGTTCTCTGGGGAATCACCCCTTAAATTCAGGCCAGGTTCTGGTCTGTTGGGTCTCGGCCCACACATGGGCCCAGTGTATTTTCATGTGTACAAAGTAGACGTGTTCATGTTGGCGTGCACATGGCATTTGTTGGTTCTGCATGAGTGAAAGTTCTCCGGCCCAGAGAGAAACCTCAGCTGTGGACAGTCACACTCATATTACACAAAAATGACCAGTGATGGCACACATCACTGTGTGTGTGTGTGTGTGTGTGCGCGCGCGCGTGCACCCTCCAGGGCTGTTTTTGAATTCCCCACATCCTTTCCATCGCCGACGTCAAATGTGCCAAAGATCCATTCATATCAATTATTGTAAATGTTTTTCACGCCACAGTTATTCATCCTGCTCCATGCAGATTTTTTTCATTTCCCTCTGATAGCTGCCTTTGATGAGGGTTTTTAGTCATCATCACAGTGTGCGGTTGGAAAAATGAAGCATCAGTAGCCTCTTTTTAGCACTTGATCTCAGCTGTACTCCCACCAGCTTG